CCAACCCAAAGCGTTCTATGATTCTATGATGATTTGTGAAAGATGACAGTGATTTTCTGGAAAGCAAGTAAACTGATGAAGGATTTCAACATACATCATTGAGAACAGACTTAACTGTAATTAACAGGCTCTTACTTTTTATGTACTCACAAATGTATAGTAACGATGCATAATTTTAATGTCTCTGAAGAAAAAAAATTCCTATTACTGAGAATTTCAAATACTTACAGAAATATCACGTTACTAAAAAACCAAAAATCAACTCACTATTTTACTTTTTCAATGCAAGATGTGAAACTGGTAACTCCACTTCAACCATGAATTCACTATAGTAGCAGGGACTTTAAAGAACAAATTTTCTAGGCTAAACTAATATGAAGACTGTTTCAAGCAAGAGAACATAACCAATATAAGGTTGAAATAAAATGAAAATGAATTTAAAATATTTGCTTTTTGTTATAGAAAACACCACAAGTTTTTTATCTTTAAAAAAAAAAACAGCAATAAAACTTAAGTTTTTGCACCAGAAGTTCAAGTTGACATACTTGGCAAAAAAAAGAAAAAAAAATAGGTAGATAGTCTAAAACCATACAAAACCTCTTCAGAACCAGAGTAGTATCAGAAATCTGGAATAATGATCTGTGCAAGAAAAAGACATCAATAAACAGAGAAAATACTACAAAAAATATGTTTCAAGAAATGCACACACACAGATTACATTGATTTTCTGTCAGGAAATCTTCAGGTCCTTAGGTTTGTCAAGCCAATATTAAATCCGTATAGCACACGTTTCTATTCTGTTCTGTCTGCAGGTACAAAGAATAATTTCTACATTTAACCCAATAGGAAGAGTATGCTAATAAGTGCTGCAAGTGCTTTAGTAACATGACATTTGCTAAGTCAGACATTGCTAAAGTGAACCTTGTATTTTTTTCAATCCACAAACAAGGGGATAATTTTTTTTTTTTTTTAAACAGAGTCTCCTAGAATAAAATCTTCTTATCACAGAATTTCACACTGTACTGAACAAAAAGGCCATTATGAACAAATCTCGTCTGTTGCTAGATCAGAGAGTGTCAGGATAATTGTATTGACTTATAGATGTGTGTGTATATATATATATATACACACACACATACATATAAATGAACATTTGAATTTGTAATAATGTACATGTTACCCCTAACATCAAAGAACATTCATTGAACAGCAACCTCTTTCATGTAACCACATATCCTTTGGCAATAATCCAGAAATTTTTAAAACATTCTTCTCCCCACCTCAATGCAACAAGAAACATTCAACTTACTACTGCTGGTGAAGGTACATGAATACTTCCTACAGACCGAGGACGAACGTGATTTACTAAATGGCAGAGAACTACACCATCCATCAGAGCAGATCCCAAGTCTTCAGGCAAACAGATCTTCAGTCTTGTTTCAATATTCTGCAAATGAAGAACACATGCACACTTTAATATAGAAATGGATTTGTTGTTTAACCTAGAGAAGAGAAGGCTCGGAGGAGACTTCCAGTCTACCAGTACCCGAAGGGGTCTACAGGAGAGATGGGGAGGCACTCTTTATCAGATAGAGAGCGTAGTGATAGGATGAGGGGTAATGGTTTTAAGCTAAAAGAGGGCAGATTTAGATTAAATATTAGGACGAAATTCTTTACTGCAATGGTAGTGAGACACTGGAACAGGCTACCCAAGGAAGTTGTGGATGCCCCATCCCTGGAGGTGTTCAAGGCCAGGCTGAATGAGGCTTTGACCAGCCTGGTCTAGTGGGAGGTGTCCCCGCCCATCGCAGGTGGGTTGGAACTAGATGATCTTTAAGGTCCCTTCCAACCCAAACAGTTCTATGATTCTACAGTTCTCATCTATGCTGTAAACACATAGCCAGTTTTTAAAAAACTAAAAGCCAAGCTCCTTTTCCTTATGTTGGTCACTAAATTACATAAACTCCTTACAAAGAACTCAACATTTCAAATGCTGCCTTCATAATATGCATTTATTTTTACAGATACATATAAAAATACAAATGCACGCAATTAGCCATGTGATTGAACTAGATGTGACTCCTTAATTTCACCATTCCTCCAAATCTTCTACTTAACCATCTCAAATTTTCTTCATCATCAGCACTTTGAATCAGAACCGCATTGTGTTAAATCACCATACAAGCAGAGAGTTAAGTCAATCTTTCCCCAATAGCCTAAAAATTACTTCAGAAGTATTAGAGTGATCAGAGAGACAGATAAGGCAAGGCAAAACATTCAGATTTAAAAGAGAATTTTTGGATAGTTTTTAAGTAAAACTGAAATCTCACTGAAAAAAAATTGATATTGCAAAATAAAATACTTTGAAAATATTTCAAATTTTCCAGAAAAAAAACCCTACAATAAGATTGTTATGTATGATGAGTTTCCTAAATTGTGCTCCAATCTGGAAAACATTCCAATGCTATACTTAGAGATAACTCTCAGATTAACTCTCAGAGATAATTACTTTATCTTAAAACAGATATTTCTTTTTCCTACTTGAACCTTCTTAATGTCTTTGCTCTCTATCAATTTACCTCAATCTATGCTGCTATATATATTTTTTCATATATATACATATATATATATATATAAAACCTCAATCTATGCTGCTAGCCATCACAGTTCTACATTAAATAACTTGCATTTTAAAGATTTGGTAAGGAGAAAAAAGTGAATCCTCTTGCTTTAAAATTAAATAATACAAGGCACATTATTTAAAATAAATGAATAATTTTGGAATTAGTCATTCCATTAAGGTAATGACATAAGAACAATTAATCTTGTGATTTGGTTGATATCAAAGTCACCTAACACACTTTCAGGATTTGCACTGCTTTTAGGAGTGCAATGATACCATCTCTTGTGTTGGTAACATTAATTAACTGGAAACCTTGAGAGGTTCAGGCTCACAACACTCCTTGCGGCAAAGGTTGTCAGCTTTTTTTTTTTCTTCTTCACACAAACAGTGCTACCTAGGTATTAACTGTGTAACCCTATGCAACCACATGCAGCAATTTTTGCATCAGGCTCTAGCTTCTACATTCAAGACAATATATCAGGAAACTATCTTGTATATTCAGATCTTCAAGTGATGAAATATTCATTTCACTTCTAAGAAAGCTGTTTCAAGCATTAGTTATCTACTTTATAAAAAATGTCTAACTTCAGCTTTAACTAATAGATTTCATTATGCCTTTTACTTGCTAGACTGAAGACTTCTCCAGCTGTTAGGAAATATTTCTGGACCTCCCTCTTACGTAACCACTTCACTGCTTCTGATGCAATTAAATAAATTGTTAATTCCACTAGTGCAAGGAATACTGTTTAACTGTATGTCATCCAGGTAACTCCCATGATTATTTCCCATTTTTACAAAACCTTTCCTGAAGTACAGACCTGTGACCATGATAAAGCACTTCAGGAATAGTCTCATCAATATGATTTGCAGAAGTAATATTGCCTCATTTAACCTTTTTAATATTCCTCCTACTTATACAACTTTCCCAAAGAAAAATTAAAAAATACACTCCATTAGCACAAATTAATTCTACCAACACTCACATACCTCACGTAGCTGTTCCACAAGCTCTCTCTCCTCTCTCATCTGCTCCATTTTCCTTCGAATTGTAAATTGTGGGTCTACTGATTCCAAGTGTCTTTGTGGTCTTAAGAACACTATGATTTTTAAAAAAGACAAGATTTTAGTTTAAAAACAAACGCCTTGATTTATTATTTTCTAAATGAAGCAACTGCCTCCAGCAAAAACTGTTACAAAATTTTTGTCCCCAGGACAGAAAAATCTCATCTTGGACTACATTCACAAATCTCTCTTTTTTTGGATATTGCTCTGAACAGCATCCTACACCATTAATGGAGTAGATAATTTTTCAACAAAATCCTCATCTCAACAGGCAAGTTTTGCCAGATGATTAAGCACTGGCACTGTCCCTTACAGATTCTGATCTGTACAAAACTTTTTTTTTTTCTTAACTAGCATAGCAGGAAACACCTCTTATTCTTCTAATTAGAACCCTCTCCTACAAGATACTGAATTGCATAACAAGCTGTGACAAGCATCTTCCTACACAGGATGAACTGCTTACTAGACAAGGTTATACTAAAAAAACCCCGCCCACCAATGTAGGGAGATTTAGCCATTCAGTAAGTTTGCCTACATTAAAAAGTTGTATTGCAAATGTAGCATTGAACAAACTCTTCACAGAACGCCCTCCCACCAATCCTGTCGACTGTATTACTTTGCCCACACATAGTTCCTTGAAATAATTACATGAAATCTCTCCATAAATGCACCTCTGCACTTCCTTTTTTTGTGATCAATGACTGTTTTGAATGGTTTGGAAGAACAAGAACACGTATGCTCAAAATGCAACTGTCACCTCTTTGCCACTTGAATTATAGACAAACTGGATTGTTATGGAAAAGGATGCTGCTTAAAAGAAGGAAGTGTTTTATATGATTACTTTCCCACCTCTCTCCTGAATGCAACTGTTAAACTCTAAACACTAATTAATGGGGTGGAAAGTACAAAGCCTAGAAAACTCTGGTTTTACACACAGCTACTGCTCAGTCTCCATTTTGCTAATTTAAGGCCATTAAACAGAGTGGACAGTTTCTGGGTCGATAAGTAACAGCATAGAAGAGAGGAGCCTTTTATTTCCCAGAAGGCACATCAGAAAATTGGAAGTGTATGAATTGCCAGTAGCACCTACTAGACGAGTAAGAAAACATGAATTACTATTGACTATCAGAAAGGTACACTTTGGTGTAATCACAGTAATTCTGATGTTCCATTAAAACATTGACAGTCATTTTATTTAGGTTGTGATTTGGGTAATAGGCTGAATTTTAAAAATCAGTTCTGAAAACATCTAAGAAAATAAAACATTGAACCCTTGATAGAAGGAAATTTCATCTACATTCTGACCAAAAGTTAACTCTTAATGAAGCCCCCAAATCTGTCCAGGATCAACTCTGACATCCAGGGCTCAGATAAACACGACAAAGTTTCTGCACAAGAAACAGTTTGAAATCTCAGACAAGTCTAGTCACTAGGAATCTCACCTAACTGTATGTAGGTTAAGTAAAAAAAACCTAATAATTAAATTATTTCTCTAGCCAAAGGGACAGACAGACACCACCTATGGCAGTTCAGCCAACAGGCAGTAGTTTTTTTCCTTATTTACTAAAAAATTAGTTTAAGGCAACAAATTTCTTACATATCCTTAGGCTACTTATCTGAGGCATCAAGACAGAATAAACTATGGGCAGTTACCAAACTTGTTTCTTTCCACTACTTGACTCACACAGTCATCGTTTATACTTTTCACAGACTACTGAAATTTGCTATGCTGCTGTTAAATCACTAATATCAGTAAATACTGAATAAAAGGCTACTTGTTTAACAAAGCTGTTTCCAAATAGAACACCTAAAAATCAACTCCTAAGTTTTTAAAGTACAGAAACTCTTACCCAGGACTTTTATTAAACTCCAGAACTGCATTGAATTAAAATCCGTGCATGTGCAACTCTAGCAATTTATTGGAGATGGCTCCTAAATTTTTAAGGGGCAAAATAAAAATCCCCTATCACCTTTATTAAAAAACTGTAGTTGCAATTTCTAAGATTTTTATTTTACAACTCCAATAATTGAGCTTTGCTGCCTCTCACAGATGAAATACCTAGACAAACCATGCTTGAAGAGTAATATTATATTTAAATGCTATTTAAATGCCACTGTAGCTTTGTTAGCAGCAGCAACATTTCAAAGAATTCTCTACAAAAGCATTAGTTCATATTTATGTTCAATTTTGCAAGTATCAGATTATTATTATGGACTTGATTCAGTTTGGCCACAGCTATCTTTGTTCAGGCCTTTGCTAAGTCAATGTAAATGTCCCAAGATCTACTTCCTTCTGATTTCAGACTACAAAGACCTGTTAATGAAAAGTTAAGTATCAACATTACTTATTGAATTTACAAATGAGACACACATCCCACTATGAGGAAAAAGGCAGGCTAATTTCAAGGCAGTGGGAAACTACAATTAAAAGTTTCTAAATAAAAGAAGTTTAATTGATTAAAAAAAACAAAACACCACACACACACTCTCAAAAGCATTAGTTATAAAAGCTTCAGTTATACACTGAATTGAAAGAAAAATGTTCTGATACAGGAAGTTTTGGCAGCTGTGAGTATTGCTTGCTCCTCTGCATTACACACATTTTCCAGCAAGGGGAGCCCATACCTCACACACATCTGAAGGTCTATTGTTTTTTACTCTTTCCAAGAGCAAGTTTCTGCTTTTTGAATCCATGGTCAACCAAGGTTACTATGTAAAGCTTATTCCAGTAATTTTTTTTAAGTATTTTGTAAAAGTCTCAACAAGTTAAATGGGTAATAGTTAATAACACGATATGTACTCGACATACCACAGTCAAGGACCAACCTCCTTGTGAAAATTTTCATTTTTGTTATGAGTTATGATGCACATACATGCACTATTTATAGCACATCAATTAATTTAGTGTCCCAAGTACCTAATTTGACAACATTATCCTTCAGGCAAACAACAAAATTATTTAACCCGACTCAAATAACAGCCAAAAATAAGGTTGGACTAATGACAGGCAGAGAGATGAAGTCAGGCCAAAAGCTTATAGTTACGATTTCACTTTGCTTGATGTATTCAGGCCAAATTTAAGTAACAGTGAAGTCATCATACAGTCATTTGCTAAACCAAAGCCTCCACAATGGTATGGATGTTGGTCTTGGGAGACCTGCCTGTTCCAAGCCTTATAACCTCACAGAAATTCTGGACTTAGCCTCCTCTGTTACAGAGCCGTTGCCAGATAGTTACATTAAAGATAAGAAGTATTAGAATGCTACGTTGATGCATGGCATTTCTATATCGAAGGCTACACCTATACCAGCAATCTACACAGGGCTAGCGCGTGGATCCTCAGCACTGGCCTACACACACTGATATTGTTAATGTTGTTGCTTCCTGGTACAGCTCTAGTTGGTGCAAACCCACCTCTCTTCTACACAATGTCTAGGTATAGCTCAAGGAATAGCATAGGCAAATGACATCCCCCCCAAAGGCAGCTTAAATGCAGCCATCCCGTTTTGAAAAGTAAGAGTGCTTAGGTATGGATTTGAATCATGCTGTGCCAACTAACCTCAGTGCCAGAGAACGGTCTCTGATCCATTTTACTTCCTAACACAGGAAGATACACCTTAGATAACAAACTTGGGCCCAGATAACAAACTCTATGAAAGGCAATAGTCCTGATTAAAAAAAATAATATATAATTGTAAAAGCAGTTTTCTGTTGGAACAGCCCAAGGTAATAAACACCAATATTTGCATTTGGCTTAAGATTTGAATGACATGAGAGATCTTTCTGTTCCAAATGCACAAACACACACTAGTCTGTACTGCTCCTGTCATTTAGACGAGTAAAACAGTAACAAATTTAGATTAAAATAGATCAAAATCTGCACTGATAGAAGCACCTCTAGCTTTCTCTGTTAGAACATTCATCACCAAAATTTCAGTTAGCTTCATACTATAAATGAACTAAATTCAGTTTTTCAACTTACCATTTTCACAATTCTTACATTCCAAACTCATTTCTGTTATGGAGTTGATTCCTTACATATGCTGTTTTTTATGGTTTTATAATCAAGAACACTGTGGCAATAGCAAGTATTGTAGTAATGAACTGAACTAAGAATGTAGGCATTCTAAACTGAATGTTGGCATTTATCATTCAAGATTTGTGGTCTTGGTTTCAATCTGATGCTTTGACAGTTTCACTGCCTTCTAATAGCTAAACACCCTTCTAATTTAGGGCAACTGGAAGAACAGCAGTCAATTTAAAAAAATACATCTGTCTATCAAATACTCATAAACAGTGTAATTGTCTACACTCTCCTCCTCTTTACATTTAACTATCAATGCAGTATAAGACAGAGATAGACCAAACATGGACAACTTTGCGTATGAGTGCCACGACTCAAATGTACTATGACAATTACACCCTGGAGAAAAACAAAACAAAAGCAGCAGTAACAAAGTCGGCTGAGGTACCTGGCCTTCACTATGCACAGAGAAGTTTGACAGCTTACTAACAGTTTCTGTTGGACTGAAATCACTATTTTTGCTTAGCTGATGGTTTCAGCTTTGTTTCTTCATGGATTACTCTTCTAATTAAGTCAGTTATCCACCTACATCAATAACTGCAGATGGGAGCAGGATATTTTTATTAACAGCATCTATCAAAAGTAATAAATTAAAAATTAAGAAAAGACAGTAGCAAAATTAATTGCTGTTTGAGTACAACTTTTATAAACCCTTGAAAGCAAAGCAAGTAAATAAATCTATATTGGAAATAGTTCTTGGAGTGGATATCCTGGGAAAAGTTGTTTTGCCAGACTTGAAAACAGACACACTCAGAGTACTTTGATACTACATATTCTACAGTATATTAATGTGCATTATCCGAGGTATTTAGTGTTATAAACATTCCCTCAAGAGTACTGTCTTTCATCCTTAGCCACACAGGGCATTTGCCATATATTCAGGTTTCTGAAAACATAAAATTAAGTAAATTATATATGGAACACCTACCATTGTCACTGTCTCCTTCAGATGGGATACTGTAGCTAAAGTTGTCCCATGTTTGTGCCTGTGTAAGTGTGTTGAAGGAGATAGGAGGAAGACTGAGGGATGGGTCTGCTGAAGGGGAGTGATAGCCAGTCCAACCATGGTGGTATAAGGACCGGAGGGGGGACAAAAGGGGGGCAGCAGTATTTCATATATGGCATTAGGATTGTATGGTAATGACAAAGATGTAATTCAAAGGTGATTAATACAAAATGCGTAATTTTTGAGAAAAGAATGAAAGATGGTGCAGAATAAAAAGAACGAAGAGTTATATGTTAGTAGTTGCAAATCATACATTATATGCGCAGTTTAAGCTATTAAGCATAGCAAGGTCACTGTAACCACAGCACTTCACACAACTTGTTTACAACCAAGTTTTAAGAAAAAGTACCCATAGATTTTACATTATAGCCTGACAAAAACCTTGACTCGGAATCAGAAGGTAAATATATCAGCTGTGACGTTTCAGCAAAAGTTCAGAGAATAAGAATTTTAATATTTTTCACAACTATGTAGTAAGAATGCTTCCTCCCCCCAAAGACAAAGAAAATTTACACGTGCATATGAAAGTATTATTACATTACAACTTCCTAGCTGGATTTTGATAAGTAGCAACTACATTATCCCTCAGATTCTCGTTCTGTTGAAACATGCTGAAACATATAAGCACATCTACTACAGTTTTCCTTTTTTTTTTTTTTTAATTCACTTAATAGTACATACAGCACTACTTTTTCTTCTTGCTGACTCCCTAAGCAATAAGACCAAACCTACAATGGGCCCAAGATCCTAGGAAAGTTCTGGACCTCTACAACTTTTAGAGACTTTCCAGGGACAAGAACGGACATAAAATACCTCCAAAGGGTGATCCTAAGTTTGCACCACAAGCCTTGGCAAACTTGCACTGTACAGTCTCCTAACGAACACAAATTCAGTAATGATCCAAATGGGCTCCCTAAAGCATGCAAAATTGCACATTTCCACAGAAGCTGCAACAGAGTCTTGAGACTATTCACCAGATGGCTGTAAAAGCATGTCATACTTACAGTTCATGACCACCCATCAACTCATTATGGAGCTAAACTTGTATAGCAATATAGTCGCTATTCTCCATCCATTCTGCCTTCTCTCCTTCAACTAGCCATGGCAACACCTCTTATTTGTTCCTCAAATCCTTCAGTGGACATTTTATTCCTTCCTCACCATATCTGCACTTTTATCTCCTGTCTTGATTGTGGCAAGGATATCTGTCCAAGCTTTCTTCAAACCTGCATTCTACAGCATTTCAGAACTGGACACCGATATCCTTAAAGTATCTCCTCGCTGCTTATCTTCAGCACGTCATCCCTCTTTTCAAAGCTTCCCACCGGTTTCCTATTTTCTGACATAGAACTTAAATCTCTTCTCTGCCCTTCACAATGATGTCCCTCCTAAATGAGCTTTTCTTGTATCTGATCGCAATGTTCCTTACTGCTTCTACCATAAAAATTAGGAACTCACTCATTTCTTGGTTTCCTACATATATTTCCATGTTTTATCTACTGAATCCCACACACAGGCAACAGTCATGCTCCTCAAACTAAACTGGAGATTATAAACTGCCCCCAGTCTAAATGCTAAACCATAACTCTAAATCTATTTTAAATTACTGTATAGATCAAAAAGCAGCTAAAATAATTTAATATTAGAAGAAAGTCTAAGGTAAAGTTTCAGTAGGCACAGAAAATCCTCATTTTATATAATTGCAAATAAATAATCATAAGGAAGTTAATCACACAGACTTTCTCCTTCCCACAATTCTGGAATCTGTATTAACATGATAATAATTCAGACAGTGTCATATAAAACTTCACCTTAAACTTCTCTTCCCACTCAACTGTTCAAGTGCTTTCTGTCTTTAGCCATGCCTTTTTCCAAAGCCAGTTCACTGCTTCTGGCTACTGGGACACCAGATCAACTGGACCTGAGAGCCAGCACAACTTAAACTCTGAGCAGAGTCAACACAGGGTAACAGAATACAGATTCATGGCAAATTATAAAGACTTTAGTTACACTGGCAATTAGGATTCTTATTTTCCAAAGTACACAGATATGCAGTTGGGGAAGAAAACAAATTAAAGGAGTACATATCCAGAGATTAAAAAAAACAGTTACCAGCACTAAAAAGAGGGAAAAACACTGTCAAGCTCTAATGATCATTACGTGTTCCAACAAACTTGAAAGACAAACTTGAAAGACAGTGAGGCAGGCATGTCCACAGATACTAATGTTGTGCTTCAAATTCTCTACAAGTTACCAAAAATGAAGCCACTGGATTCACAAGTAAGATTTTGGTAAGTAAACAGTTTCAAGGGAACAACTTATCATTTCACAATACAAACTGCTTTGTGATTTTGACTTTTGTCAATGTTTCTTTTAGCCTCTGAAGGTACAATTTCATTGTTTGTTTGCCTTTGTTGCTGTCACCTTGTTCAGCAGAAAATATGAAACACAGTAACCTCAAAATGGCAGAGAACAAAGGCAAAAAATATTCTTGAGTCCTGCAAGATGTATTAGTAGATGTTCACACTTCAAGGTCTGGCATATTAAAGATATTGTGGAAAGAACTTTGCAGCACTCAGTTTCGAGAATTAGCACCACTCTGAATATTTTAATCAATTCACGAGTCAAGCACAAAAGAGTTTAAATTTAGTAACTATTTTGAGTGATTACTTTTCAGAGAGCAAAAGCACTTTCTAAGCAGAAAACTATGGCTCTAGGAAAACTTGTAATTACTGGTTCTTCTCAATAGTAATTTTTTAAGGCTTCCAATATGAATGTGAATTTGAGAAGCCCATACGCTATGGAAGTATTTAAAATGCAGGAGGAAATACTCTGAAAAATGAAAAAAATCCTCTCTCTTTTTACCCTCTATGTAAACATTTGGCCCTTGAAAGTAATCTGTCAAGAACTCAAAACACACTCACTACCTTTCAAAACACGTTATTTGGGTACCATATCAGACATCAGATATGAATTTTCCCAGTGATTTGCCTGGATTTAAAATGAAAGAATAAAATGGCCTTCAGTCTTGAACACACATCACTGTGGACCAACACTGAAGTTTAAGCCACTGTATTTTATCCTTCGGAAGCATTTCCATTTGTGTGTGAACTTCAAAAGACCGGAATCCTTACCACAAGTCTAGAACATTTTACTTTCAGCTTTCCAAGAGACATAAATTATTATGAAACTATGAGGGAGGGAGAAAAAAAGCCAAATATAAAGTAACATTCATTTAAAATAGATGAAAATAAACACAGTGAAAAAAACCTCTCAATTTTCAGAAAGGTATGGTTGCATGTATTTTCTTTGAAAATTTGACACTATTTTTCCAGAGCATGATGTACACATTTTAGTTAGAACACTTTAATGTTCTTTTAATCTTGCACTCAGATTCTGAAGATCTGTAGAATCAAGTAATTCAAACGTAAGCTCTGATTAAGTTAAATAGCTAAAACATACAAGAATAAAGACAGGGTTTAACAGGCCAACAAACTAAAATGCAGCTGAACAGATCTGTCAAACTGTATATCATAACGACATGAGAAATTTAAAATATCATTACACAGCTGCAATATAGTCATGGGAAGCACTGTAGGAACTGTGCACATCTGGTCTTTCATCATGCGACTTGGAGGATTTGTTGCAAAAGACTGCAACCATTGCAATCCAGCCTTCCTTGAAATCATCTTAAAAAAGATTCACTAAGCTATTTTGCCCTGACCTATTACTGTCATTACGTGTAGGACATCTTGGTGCACTGACATACCAAGATTCAGAAGCAGACATTAAACTAACACTTGAACAAGAAGTCATGGTCTTGCCTTCTCTCCACAATGCTGCTTCCAGCCCCCAGCAACAGATTCACTGGCAGCTCAGCAGAAAACAGGCTGCATCGCATGAAAGCAGCAACATGGCCTGGGCTTGCTTGCCTTCACACGTCTTTCTCCTAGTGGTGTTACTGCGATGTTGCCACTGGGCTGTGTAATATTACACAGTGTTTTGTTTTTTCCAAATCCTGAAAGGACCCATTTGCTCATCATTTAACCTATACTTCAAATATATAGAGGAATAACATCTCTAAAGCATCAGGAACATACAAGAATAAAGCCAGGATTTAATAGGCCAACAAACTAAGAAACGCAACTGAACAGATCTGTCAAACTGTAGATCATAACTACATGAGAAATTTAAAATATCTTAATGAAACAAGGTTGGTTCTATACCATTTTCTTTGCTTTTGAAAACTTTTTCTAAAAAAAAAAAAAACCAAATCTGTGGGTACAATTTCTTAAACATTCAAATGTGAAACTGCTGCCATTATTGCCAAGATACTTTGTTATGGAAAATACAAGCTTGTAGTGGTTTACCAGCATTTGATTAAAAGCATTTGTGGCGAATGCGAGAAACTAGAATCAGTCTTAGGACACTGAAACATACTGAAAAACCTACGGTCATTGTTTAGAGATGATGTGAGATGACTTAACAATACTGACTACCTCAGCACAGAGAAGATAAAAACTGAGTTTAATCCTGTAGCTAATCCTGTTTTTAAAAGAAGCTGCTATCCAAGCCCTCAAATACATTAATAGTTTTGGGGGGAGGGATGGTGTAACGTTTGTTTAATAAATAAACTACTGTTTGTTAAAAGATTTATGGTTATGCAGATTCGGTGCATTGCAAATTCATTAAACTCAGCCACTTGCTGAAATAAACATCTAATCTTCCTATAATGCTTGATCTTTACACTGTAAGCTACTGTAAGTCTCATTGCAACAATCAATTTTCAGAGCGATGCATGTGTTTTCCAAACAAGCCTAATTATCCACATATATTATACTACAAAATCTAAAGTGTATCACTACATACCAATTAAGCAAAAATCATATTTCAATTAGTTTGTCAGCACAATGATATATAAGTATACATGTATAAAATACGTGTATATACATACACACATCTTTTTTAAACATACATACATATAATTTTACAAAACATCTAACTTATTAGTAAGGGATGAAAACTGATCCATAAATAATGTGCCAAATACATACTTGTTACAAATTCAATCTTGATTCAAACCTAAAACATTAAAATGTTCTAATCTTCTTCTAACTTGTACAGAAAATGTTTGATCACTGCCTTCTTAAGGGGAAAAATACAGACATCTATTAATAACACAGATGTAAAAAAAAAAAAAAACCAACCACCACACAAATTGGTTAATTTTATTTCCCACATTACCTGATCGTGGCTTCAGGCCAAAGGGGATTGTGGCATTTGTAGTAGGTGACATTGTCGGACTTCTATCCTTGTTCTGTGTAATTCAAGAACATAAATCTAAGTAAGAGTAACATCCAGAATATCCCAGCACAGCTGACTGTACAAAATGCAAAAGTTAACAATACTGCACACCAAAACTAATCCACCATAATCTGATCACAATAAAGCCTCAAACCTATGTTAATCTCCCTTTTCTATTCCGTCCTTTTCCTTTGATGGAAAAGATGAGTTTCTGGCCAAAGACTGCAGGTTATTTCCCCCAGCTATAAATCAGGTCAATTATTTCTCAGTTTTCTCCCATGTAATCACTCGTTTCCATCAAATGTACATTTTTGTGGAATAGTACATTTAGAAAAACAAAGTAAAGACATGTTTTTTCCTTAGATATGTTTGTTCCTTTCACAGAATTAATTACCATTCTGCATGGTATTTTGCATGCAACACTGCAATTCTGCTTAAAAGGCAGAAAGAAGTAGTTAAGCATACACCTCAGAGCAGGATTGCCTTTGACCCTGAACTAGGCTAACAGTTGCAGCAGGGAAAATGGAGTAGTACCATACAGGAGAATGTGAGGTATAATCATCATACCATTAATGGTAACATGGAAAGACTCCTATAACCAAATTCCATAATGGGAATCCTATTTCAAAAGTGATCTCTCAGGGAACCAGGAACCATAGGAGGCCCATCACCAAGACTGGTGGAAGGTGGTTGTGTGCTCATGAATTTGCAAGACGCTCATACACTGTGCAATGTAGAGGGAAAAGCCCTGTTTCTGCACATAAAATACGAAGGGAAAATCTCTCCATAAGGAGCTCCCTACGGGTTCCCTTTTTGACCTTCTTCTGAGATCTGCACTGTGAAAGTAATAGGATCAATAAAATCGGACTCATCTCTGAAAACTCATCAAGGACACGACAACTGTGCAAGAAGAAATTTCACTGAAATCAATAGAAACTCTTGTGAAACAAGGAAAAGTCAAAAAAGATGTGGCAGAACAAACAAAATGTGAAAAAATAAAATGTTTCATACTAAACTACATAACTCTGAAACAAGCTTATCTAAAAGTATCCTTTTATACCCTAATAAATCCTTAAAACAAGAATAAACCACAAACCAAATGAACTACATAGCCATTACTAATAAGCTCAGTCATATTTTCTGAGATATTAAATTACACATTTCATTTAGCATATGAACCATTCATACAAAACATGTAAGAGACAAACAAATTACAACAGCATCTTACCTCATTGTGAGAGGTTTGCCCACTTGTATTCCAAACAATTACATCATTCTGTGTATTTGGAGAGGAAAAACAAACGGAAAAAACAAATTATCATTTTGGCAACTTATATTAGCGATATCGGACAACAGGATACTTTACTCATGATATGCAGATATACATTAATACTTCATTTTTTTTTCATTGAAACATTTAATTTTCATGAATAATAAATACTTTTACTGCTAGCTGAACAACATTTAATAAAACTTTGTGGAAATTATTTGCAAAGATTTGTCATTACTTTTTTAGTTTCAATCCTAAGTGATTATAACCGCATTTATAAGATTTTAATGTTTGTTGGTTCAAATGCAGCATACATCTTTGCTTCACAGATTTTGTAATTAAACTATCACCAAGAGTGCAATATACAAATATAGATTTTTAATATAGATTTGAAGAGAGAAGTATTCCATATGCAATTCACTTTATAATTGCAATATAACATACCTTTTGTTACCAACTTCTGCTATAGTTACATTGGAAACATGTAAATCGCGTTAGTAAATAAGAAATACAATCACTAATTCTCTATTAATCATAACTCAGCAGAAACACAGTAAGTAAAAACAAATTATAATTCAGTTCAAAATCATTTCCTTAGGGCCAATTTTTTTTCTAATTGATAAAAAAATGGAAACAAAAAAGATGGCTCTTGGAACACTTAGTCACAAGAGTCACAGAGCAAAAAAAGTCAGCAAGATGAGAAGGAAGACTGCACACCCATTTTGCTTCATGACCTTTCTTGGCTACTTTTCAAGCTTAAAAGAAATTCTTCAGTTTTAGACATCTTTCATAATATTACCTCCACCACTGTATTACCTAGAATAAACAGAAATCTCACTCATCTGATCCCAGACAGTTGTACCTGGGGACTCGCACTCTTGAGCACTCCTGTGCTCAGGGACTGTGTTCCTGTGACAGACCTGCTAGTTATGCCTATGCTGCAGGTCTCATCTCTCCCACAGCATGCAGGTCACTGGTCAGAATTTTGAATTTATGCTAAACTGAATTAATTTAGCAACACAAGTAGTAACACAAGTGCTTGCTGTATTACACAGAACATAGCATGATTAAAAACTTGCTCTTGCAAGATGTATTTCCATTTCATGGAATGTGCCTAGTGCTCTCACCTGCATAACACAGTCCAGACCAGGCCCTCTACAAGTGTTTAGGAAGACTGAGTTCTTCTTTTTAAAAAGTTCTTAAAAGTGAACAAGCAGTGTTCTTGTTAAACAGTTCATCAAAATACAGACACCATACACATTGTGACACTGCATTAGCCTTATCTGTTAATCTCAGCAATGTAGTAAGAACTGTTCCAAATAAAGTGTGGTAACCCCAATGTGCAACAATATAATGGAAGAGATGAACCCAGTCAGGTTTTTAGAAGTTGATATCTTAAAGAAAAAACAAATACAAAATTAAGACTAACATAGTCACAAGGATATCATAGGAATATTTGATGGTAATGATGATTATGCATAAGAATATTTTAAAAGCATCAAGATAAACCAGATCCAATCTATGTCTGGATAAGACAGACCATATTAAGGTACTACCAATATAGACAGAACATTATGTAGTTTTTGTCTCAGCATTTTCTTGCAAGAGCAGTCAAAAAAATCACTACACAAACAAGTTCTGAAGTAATAACACATGCACCAAATATTTAAAACAGATTTTTTTCATAGTTCTTCCTTCCTGGATCATTAACTTATAATATTTCTGAAACTTTAAAACTACCATCTCAATCTATATACAGTCAGTTTGTAATAATAAAGTTATTAAAAATACTGCTGCAGCTTATATAACTACAAGAGTATTTGAGGTGAGGGGGAAGAGGAATCTGGTGTTTCATTTTATTGAAGATCTAACTTTGAGGTGACTTATTTTTTCCAGAGGAATGCAACCACTGCAACTACTATAGTGTTTATTGGAAAAAAGGACTTTTATTAATTTCATTATATCATTTTTTTCCTGAGATGGGTCTTAATCAATTTCCCATTTACAGCCAAACCCTGAGATCCATGCCCAAAACCCAAGAGGCCTAAACCCACTGCTGTCTCCACACACAAAATGACAGAATGCAATAATCCATTTCAAATATTTGCATATTTATTGTATCTAGACACCTCCATACCTGACTCAATGACCATTTTTCACCCTGTTCACAAGTTTTCACTTCAGGCTTTCCTTTTTCCATAATCAGCTCCCTCCTCCTCTGAAATTCTAGTTCCTCCTCAGCATTTTCTTTCTGTAACATAAATAACTCTTTAGACTGTGTATCACTGGAAATAGAACTGCATCTCTTTTTTGCATAACATTACCTCAGAAGTATTTCTTATAAATACCGTGATGAAAAATGAACAAAGAAGTAAGCAGATACTATATACATGCAGTTCCAGTGCTAACAGGCAGGTAATGTAAATCTAAACAAAGTACGTCATAAAAGAATACCAGTTCACCAGTTGGAATGCCAATCCAATAATAAGCAGCATATATCACACAGTAAAACTCCAAATCATAGTTTATATGCTCTCTGTAACTATAGGGGTGCTGCTCTGGCAAAACATTAATTTTTAGTTTAAAAAAATATTTTTGGGTTATCCTTAATGAACTTACTTTTTCCTACACCAGAACAGGGAGATAGAGGGGTGAGATGGTAGACAAGCATGCATAGCTCAGCTATGAAACGGCATACATGAAAGTCACACATGGAGAAAAAAAACTAAGATGAAAAAGTAACGGATAAACCCATAAAAATTTTATATATACACACATATTAAAAATTAAAAACAATTCCATTAAAATGTTAAAGCAAAATTAATGTCTTCCAACCTACTTTTTTCCCTTCCCTACTTGGTAGATTAATAACTGATGAAATTGTTGGCTCATTTCCTGACTTGCCCCCCTACATATTTTGTAATAATACACTCAACGTACCTGACGAAGGGAAGACATCTCCATCTGTATTTGACCGCTATGTATAAAGATAAACAAATGCAAATATATAATTCATTGTGTTGAAACTTGAATATGCTGAATTTAACAAACACTTTTTTTTTTCTAAAAAAAGGTAGATAAACACACTTTACTGTAGACTCGTGAATTTCTAAAGCTGTTGCTGGTTCCATGGGATACAGATTCACATCACTGCTCTCTGAAATATCCATGCTTAATCTGCAAGGTTTGAAATAAAAACATTGCACTAGGGTATAGCTTTGGTAACCATTCTGTTCAGTATTTCATTTCAAATGAATGGATGTATGAAATACTTTTATAGTCATGGTTCTAACCTGCTCTTAACAACTTTTTGTATCTCTTAACAACTTTTTGAAATGCCTCCTGACACTCCACTGTAACCAGTTCAGTCAAAGCAACGTTAACACTTTCCTCTGCAAATGTCACCCCAAGCAATGGCTTGTACCAAAACAATAGGACCTGTTAACTACCAACCGTTATCTAGAAGACTGTAGATTTCTATAGCCAACTTCTATCACTCTGTGCTCAAATAGAAGCCACAGTCCTGGCTAAATGTTCAAATTTAATTTACCGTGGATGAAAATAAAGCAGCGCAAAATAAATTCACAATAGACAATGATCTGGAAGAAAGCAATGAATATAGGAAAGGGAATACAGGAATATGAAACAAACGTCTGAAAATACTGGAAAAGGCTGTGTCTGAAATCTTTTTCCCTTCCAGAACTGAAATGCTGCTTATGCGCACATAGGGTATGCAGATTTTAAACTCTGCAGAACACTAGGACAACAGTAACTGGACAAGCATTTTACAAGTTTATTAGTCATGTCCATCAGTGAAAATAGCTCCAATCAATACGCACTACACTGAACTCTAGTCAGTGCATGTTAGGTGTGCCAGCATCACCTACTGTTTCAGCCCCTACAGTTGCTTCTCTTTCTAATTCCCAAATGGCCTTCAGTGTGAGATAAGGATAATTCTGGCTAGAGCTAGTTATTTCAACTAGGTTAACCTGACTAGGTAATATGAGTTATACTGATGCACATAGGAAATCTCTTTGGGGAAAGTTATGATTTTTTACATGCTCTAGGTTTCAGTTAAAAGCACATGAAGGCTTTTGTGCGTCTTAAAGTAAGGAGCAATGGAAGCATCTAAATTCCTTTGTGGATCTGGATAAAGACACAAAAACTATTCAGTAGGAGAACAAAAATTTTCTCACACTGCTTTATATAATACAAGTATATAACAAACTCCCTTGTAATCCAGTAATTATAAAAGCTTCCAGTCTTCAGAAAAATTAAGCTCTAAACCCGCTACCTCATAGAACTAATGAAGAAAAATGAGTTACCTAGTTTTGAACTGAATTTAATCTATTTCTGAAGGTGGTTACACAAAACAAAATAATAGCACACACCTGGACAGAACTACCTACACCACTCTTGTCAGTCCTTTTCAGTAGGACAAGAGTTTATTTTCTTCTAAATACTTACTCCTTTGTTTATTCACAGATCCAGAGTCATTCCACCTGATGTGAGCCACTTAAAACAGGCACCTAACTATAAAACCTTGTCTTATGTAGTCAGGGGAAATCTAAATAACTTTCTCTTGCTGCCTGCTTCTCTTTCACCTTTTGATTTCAGACAGAAACTACAGAAACTCCACCACTAATTCAAGCACCTCCTTTCTGTGCTCCACTGAGGTGGGATGAAGCTGGGTCAGAAGACCTTTACAATCCCCACAAAATACACCAAGCACTAGTAAGTAGAGTTTATCGTCCCTAGAAGAAATATGACTATCCTAGACAAAACTTTGGAAAATCACAGTAGTGTACACAAGATGAATGGTTAAGACGTGTTTCCACCTCTAAATTTAGGTTTCTTTAAAACCTGAAATCCTTCTTAATTTACTAGGAATCTTGTCTAGATACTCAGGGAGAGAATGCAAGTTTCCTTCTTAACTATCTAAGTGCCCCCTGAAAAATATCAGTATGCAAACAAAGCACCTCATAACTCCAGAGAACTTTCAATTACCAGTTAAAAAACTCCAAAGACATTCACAAAAATTTTAAATACATGACATTAAGACACTAGCTACTGTAAGCATACCTGTTGGGATCTTGTAATAAATCTACTGCTTCTCTTAGTTGTTCTATCATTGCTATATCAATAGTTTGTTCTTCTGATATTCTATAACAGAAAACAAAAACATTCATCAAAGAGTACAACAGTATTTATGAAGGGTAATCTGAATTTCAATTTGTGAGCTCCATCTTCCAACCATCATGCAAATACTATAGAAGGGAAAAAAAACAGCCTCTGCACAGTAGCATGTGCTGAATTTAAGAAAATAATTTTTCTGAAAAATTTCTCCAGCACTTTGTCCTTAACAAAGCCCCCAATACATACATACATAAACTCTTATGTCTAGGTGAACTAAAACTTTCAGCATTTCAATAAAACAGACTAACTTCTAAAATTCAAAATTTATTTACCAATATTTGACTCATATTAACTGCACATATATTGTTTTAACGTAAGTACTAAATACAGCAATTCCTTTAAGGGACTAGTATGCTTTCTTTTGCTTTTCAACATTTGTAATTCTTTTTGGGGTTTAGAAACACAATCAGCTGTTAGTTCTGCCAATAAGGCTCTTTCAGAAAGTACTTATTCTTCCCTTCAGTTTTTGTTTTTAAATCATACAGGACTCCACTGTTCTGCTTAGCGACAACTTCACAGTACAGTCATGCTAAATCCCCTTTTCTTATGCACTCTCCTCAGCAACTGATGTTCCCTTGCTCTGCTCTTGAATTAATGCCTATGAATTAATGATTGCTTCAAGGTCAAAATTACAACTAGAGAAGAAAAAAGACCGAGGGATTTTTTTCAATTAAATTACATTTTTTAAAATGTACACTAAATTTAGATCTTACAATTTTTGATAAAATACTTTTTTACCAATGCCATTAACAGACTAAGTATCAAAATACATAGTTAAAAAACTTACATTCTACACAGGTAAAAAAATATTACAGCATTATTGGTGCATACAAATTAATTAGTTATAACATCCACTCTATTCATCAACAATGTGTAAAACATGGAGAACACACAAAGTGCAAGACTGTGCTTCTGTCATGCCTCCAAGTCTACAAAACTAACTAATAAGAAAATGCTAGTTCTAGTCAATCTAATTAAATGACATAGCTTATGACTTATCGATACATAAAAATTACTTACATTTCGTCTGTTTGCCATTGTGTATCCTCTTCTATTCTCAATAATTCATCACACTCTGCTGCTCTGCTCTGTAAGCAGACAAAATGATATTGAGAACTGAACTTTGCAATTAAGTAGGCAGATAAACTTTGCTTTCAGACTCAGTGCTGACCTAATTTATGTAACAGTTTAGGGTGGCTAGTTGAAGCAATCCAAGACATCTGCTCTACTCCTCATTCTACCCCCTTTTTAAGACACTGATTACAAGATCTTCTATTCACTGTTCAGATATTATTGAGGTCAACAGCCCTTATCCTCCTGTAACTGTAAAAAGAAAGTCAAGCAGCACGAGAACTCTTTATTCTATGTCCCAGATTTCATTTGTGCCTTTCTGGTGTATGTAAACAATGCTTCAATTAAGCATGACCCTAACTCTCCTCTTACTTGCGCTCCTCCCGCAGCCAGATTTGTTTACAGAACAAGGAAATTTCAAATATGCAAACACTGGCAATTATGTACTTCATTCTGAATTATTACTTGACAATTTTAACAGCCATGAATAACTTTTTTAAAAACAAATCAGAATAAAAACTGTGTAATAGTTCACATCAATCAGCTAGTTACTTTGGGTTCAATGTAGGCATAAATTAGAGACCCTACTGTCCTACCTACAACTACGAAGTGCTACTTACTTAAAAATGTGACTCTCTCTTATGTTTCTGTTTGGTGCTTAGCAATTTTCTTTTCTCTTTCATCTCAGATAGGCAAGAACACTGCAATAGTCCAGCTGCCAGTAAAGACAGCAGCTCTCTGAATGGATGCGTATTTGTATTAGTAGAGAATGAACAGCAGAAAAGAGAGAGGCTTATCCTCTTTTGTGTCATGTGTTTGGCACATTAGTCGCATCACCCTGTACCAATAAACACTATCCAACTCTGCCAGATGTGTCACTGAAGAGTGTACCAGCTTCTCTGACATTCCCCAAAGATGGCCCATTCCCCAGCAGAATGAATAAAGCCATTCTTTTTTATTTTTCTTCTCCTTATAGGAATGAAGTACGTGATTTTTCCCGTAAGAAGGGCCTATATCATAAGATGACAAAAATGTAGCACTTCTACAAGGTGACCCTCGGTCTGCAGGCTAAATTAAACAGACAAATAAAGCCATATAAATTTGGACTAAGATTTGAAAAATTACGAAATCCTCCAAGCCTGAGCTCCTCTTTTGCGCTGCCAAGTTGCACTGATTTTATGTACGGTTTGGTTGACCAGACTTTCAATTTTAGAAGACCCTCCACTGTCCCAAAAGGCATGACTAAGTATAAAGCAAAGAACACAGACTCAGAAATCTGCACAAGGAGGAAAATGTCCTGAATCAAAATCCTCAGAATAAAATGAATTTATTACTTGAACAAGTCACCAACTGCTGATCTCAACTGCCATAATATTAAGATACTGAAATTAAAAGAAATTAAACTGTGGCAATATTCTTGTACTGAAATTCAATACAGTAACTTATATTTTACTGAACCAGTGTCTGCAACACATTATTTCAGCTGAACTCGTACTGACGTAATGTCACAAACAGAAAAAAAATAGTAAATGACAATATGAATGAGGAAAGTACAACTTAAAACAGACAAAAAGGAACAACAGAACAATTTCTAAAAGGTCATCCGTTATGAAAAAGAGTTTTTAAAGAAGCACATTTGATAGTTTCCCAACAAGAAGCCATGCACCATGAAGATGCCACAGGACTGACAGGCAAGTACTCATTAACCATGATAGAAAGACAAAAGTAATACTTTCAAATGGATTAAGCAACTACCTATGACGTGTAACCAGCAATACAGAGCACCAGCATTGAGTAATGAACATCTTAAGGAAACTAAAGTGGCACCCAGACCTTTATATGCAAAAAAAGACTGATGGGTACAATCTCAAAAGTTTCTTATTGTGGAAAACCCACGTCTTCTCACGTACTTCATTACATACCACACATATATGTTTTGTTACACACACAAATATACACACAATTATTGAAATACACTTTACTATCACATATAGCATCTACAAAGATCATAACAGAGTTAGTGTATACTCCCAAAATCTGTCAAGAAAGGAAGCTACCAAATCTTATAAGAGGTAGGTTCCAGAATAACAGATCTTATTTTAGATTTCATACAATTTGTCTTTAAAGACCTCTCAGTTCCTACTATAATTTTAAAACATAAGAAAATGTATTTTAATACCGAAACATTATTTCATAACTTTAGCCACCACAGATAACCCTGAAAGTCTTCTTGCATTTTACTAGCGTAACAAATGAAAAAATTGCTCAATTCAAAATATAAAGCAAATAGTACAGAACATATCTGCCACTTTTTCTTAAGGCCTTAAACATAGTTAAAGGATAACTTTCACATACACTAGAAAAAAGGTTATGGGTAAATTGGCTTCCTAAATTAATTATAACCGCTTTAAACCTACCTGGGTTTTTTTGCCTTCTGCATGTTTTATGACAATGAATATCAATTGGGGTCTCTTATTCATTCAAATGTCTGCAGTTTGTCATTCCTGCTTGCTCTATACTTAGGAAAGTAATTAAGACATTTCCCCCCATTTAAAATTGTCACAAACTTGCCTTAATGTAACTCATAAATTCAGCAGTAAGAGCATCCGATTCATCAAACTGGTTTCCTGTTTCTCTTGACTTATCATTGATAATCAAGTGAGAAGATCCCTGATGGAATTCCACTAATATCAATAATAAAAAAAGACAGAAGAATGATTTCTAGTTCAGCTCAACAGATGCTACTCAACACAATTTAAGCATATCAAGTTATAGAGCTCAAAACCAAGCAACAGTTAAGTTCAAAGCCTATTAAACACCTCAAATAAGTTAAGATGGTTGCATTCTAAGGAGTGACACCAATTAATTTCGAAGCTGTAATAAATCAATACACTGGGCTCATACCGTTGTAGATCAGAAGCACCACGACATGCCTTGATGAAGTCACTTTTGAACTACACCAAATATGTCTTGCCAGTACCAGTACAAGAACACAGTTGGACAGCTAGGTAGTATTTTAGGACATTCAGATGTCTCAGCTAGTGATTTCCAGTTTAATGTAACTTCAAAGTTATTATATAATAACAAACACTCAAATTCTCAGCAGAACTCAAATGAAATGATTCGGAGCCTTCAGAGCCTATGCCAATCTCTTGCTTACATATGATACTTCCAGGGGCATGAGGCAGTAATAATTTTCTCCTGTGCTAGACACGGTCTGATCCTACAACTTACCCTCTCCAGTGTGCTAATAAACACTGTAGGTACGATATAATGCTTTTAGTATCTCCCTTAGTATTCTACTAAATTCCAATGAGTATCTAATTGAAGATCATTTAATCTAATATGCAGTTTCCATATACAACTTGCTGAGTTCATCCTGCCATTTATCATTAGTATGTGCAGACCTTGGAGAAACATTGTTTATCAGTATGTAGATATAATCTAGAAAACTGTAAGTTACTTTAATAAGATTTAGATAAAATTATACTTTCTCTCCAAAACTGAAGAGATTTATTTCTTTCCAGGGGAAATGCTGGCTTTGAATATTAAAGCTTCATACATGCATGAAGTCCAACTGCAGAAATAGACTCTCCTTTTGTACAAGATTAATGCTTGTTGGGCTGTGATTTTTGCAAACTGAATTTAGTTGTATACATAGATTTATCGAAAGAATTTCCTTATATTTAACTTCCACAGTTTTTACATTCCAACCTTTTCTTGAGTTAACATGGTGACCTGAATCCTCCTTTACAACCTGATCTTCTTCCATGATATCTGACATTGGAACATTAAAGCTGATAGTATCTTCATCAGATGGCTAAGAAGAAATAAGAGAAACACTTGTTTCAGCTCAAACCAAGACTGATAAAAATGTATGCATTAAGAAGAATGCTCAATAAAGAGCAGCAAACTAATACCAGAGAGGATACCAGGAGCATCTAACATAACCAAATCCTACTGTAAGAAGCTGTAGTCATGCTGAATTTGCAGGTGACACCAAGTTGGGCAGGAGTGTTGATCTGCTTAAGAGTAAGAAGGCTCTCCAGGGATCTGGACAGGCTGGATTGATGGGCCAAGGCCAACTGTATGAGGTCCAACAAGGCCAAATACTGGGTTCAGTATGTGGGTCACAACAACCCCCTGCAACGCTACAGGCTTGGGGAAGAGTGCCTGGTAGAAAAGGACCTGGGGGTGTTGGTTTGTCAGCTGGCTGAATAGAAGGCCAGCAGTGTGCCAGGTGGCCAAGAAGCCCAATGGCATCCTGGCCTGTATCAGAAACAGTGTGGCCAGCAGGACTAGGGAAGTGATTGTGCCCCTGTACTCTGCACGGGTGATGCCGCACCTTGAATACTGTGTTCAGTTTTGGGCCCCTCACTGCAAGGAAGACATTAAGGTGCTAGAGTGTGTCCAGAGAAGGGCAACGAAGCTGGTGAAGGGTCCAGAACACAAGTCTTATCAGAAGCAGCTGAGGGAACTGGGTTTGCTTATTCTGGAGAAAAGGAGGCTCAGGGGAGACCTTATCACTCTCTGCAACTACCTGAAAGGAGGCTAAAGCAAGGCGGGTGTCCATCCCTTTTCCCAAGTAGCAAGCAACAGGATAAGAGGAAACATCCTCAAGTTGTGCCAGGAAGGTTTAGATTGGATATTAAGAAAAATTTCTTCACTAAAAGGGTTATCAAGCACTGGAACAAGCTGCTCAGGGAAGCGGTTGAGTCACTGGATCTACATGTGGCACTTAGCAACCTGGTTTCCTGGTGAACTCGGCAGTGTTAGGTTAATGGTTGGACTCCATGATCTTAAAGGTCCTTTACAACCTAAATGATTCTATGAAAAACACAGTTTCCAGAAGAGGCTAAGTTTTTTATTCTTGCTCTCCTGAGTCTCTCAGAGCTTTGCAAATCTATTTCCCAACAAACCCACTAGTGTTGCTCATTCTTTAGAGACTCTGTGTTTCTGGAACTCTGCGCATACATATTCCACACCTGTATTCTGTAATTACAACTGCTATAATACATATATAGTTATTTGTTCCATATCCTTTAAGAAAATATTTTTTAAGGAAATGGTATTTCTCTGTTTATCAGTCCAGCCCATTGTAATACAAGATTTGCAATGGAATGGGGAGATTACTGCATACAACCAGTTATTCAGTTTCATAGTCACCAGGCTGCAGTAGAATTATAGCATTCTTGCTGTCTTTAGATGGTCATATTCCATGCAGAAAATATTTTTAATTAAATCACAAAGCGAAGGTTTGTGATAAGGAATGGAGCAAATCTGCTTTGCTCTTAAAAAAAAAAAATTATCAAAGATCCACGTGGTTATTCCTATTTGCCACAAATACTCTGGACTTAACACATTCTGTTATTAACTCTATGAATTCACTGACTGTATCCTCCCACTGAAAGAGAAAAATCCAAAAGGATATTTTGGGACTTGATAAAGCCTTATCAAAATGATGAAGCTTTATCATAAAAGTGAACTAACACTGCAGTACTGTTCTTATTTGCCAATTTTTAAAATAAAGTTTAACTTTTAAAATACATTTTATTTTCAAATGAAACAGATTAGTATCTCAAACAGAAAATAAAACACACTCCAAGTAATCTAAGTACAAAATTCACTGGTTCTTTTTGACCTGAAACAATCACAATCCAACAGCTTAAAAAAAGGACATGCACAATATAAATTCATTCAGACAACCAAGGTTACAGTGAAGATCTTTCTCTTTCTTTCAGGTTGTATCTCATGTGACATTTAAGGACTAAATTTAGTTACTCCAGTTCAAAGACTCACGTTTCGTTAGTTTTGCAACTATCATTTGAAAATTTTACAGTAAAATGTTCTTACATGCATTATTACAAGTTCCAAACACTAAAACAGGCAAGATTTTTTTCTCAGCAGAGTAACCCACACAGTTTTTAAGAAAATAATTTGGAGTGTTGGTGTAAAAAAAGCCAGGGGCCATTCAACTTGGAAACAGAAAATCATTCCTTTAACAAGCTATGTCTCACTTTCAGGGCCTACAGAATTCTGCAATTGATTTTCCGTGTGTTTCCTGACAGTATACTACGAAATAGAAACTATCCAAAGCAGCTTGCAATAATTCAAAAGTCTTGCTCCTTCACAGGGGAGATACTGTATCTCACTTCCTTTGTCCACAGTCTTATTTCTATTCAGCTGGCAACAGAAGATGACAATAGACATAAAGAATCAAAAATATCTAACATTATTCCAACACTGAATTCAGATGATGCATTTTGAAAGAATCTTTGAATACATTCTTGCTGGTAGTAATGTGCCACTCTTATGGGTAATAAAGTAGGGACACCATCTGGATCTTAACAAGTACCCTGTTGTTCTAATGAATAAGGAAAAGGAAAAAATAAGGGCAAAGGGAGGTGGAAATTGAATGAAAATGCTACACTGTTTCTAAAAGATGAGGTACATGAGTGCACTACCTTAAAGCATAATTTGCCTTCAGGTTGCTGCAATCAATGTTACAGCAACACCGCAAGATACCTTTGACCTGAAATGCCCAAGACAACTATAGCTCTGAAGAACTGACCCTGTAATGACCCTACCAACAAGCCAGACAGAAATACATGAATTGTTTATTTCATCAAGTACTCCCTCCTATGTGTATGGAGCCAAAGCTAATCAGCAAGCTTCCTAAAAAATACATTAATATTCAAACAAGTGATTCATTTAAGTTACCATTTTTTAAGTAACTGAAATGCAAAATGACCTTGTAGTATTTTCTGTAAAAGAGATGAAATTCAACAGCCACTAGCCTTCAGACTAAACTGTAGCTTGTTTTTACATGTCTGATATATTAATAAAAACCCCCAAAGAATGTGTTTTAATGATCACTTTATGACTGATCATTTAATGCTTATCTAATGTTTGGTATGTAGATTTCTGACTGTAATTAATGTACATTAATCTTTATTTGCAAACTGCTACTATTTCTTGCACAATTCTCATGAATAACACAGGTATTAAAGGTTGCCTCAGAAGGAAAAATCAGTGGTGGATTTACTACCACACTTGGGATTACTGATCGCAGGATCTATTTTCTCCTTAATAATAGAGTAGCAGTCAGCCAGTGATGGAATGAGTAAACAGTTCTCATATAAAGAGCCTTTGTGCTAATAAAAATGTATTGGTTCACCACTGGTTGTCTTTAAAACTATTGCAGCATTCTGACTGATACATTTTGATTACAGGAAAAATTATGAACTTCCTAAAGGTGTTATTTACAGCTGAAGAGGAAATTCTGGAATAACAGTTTCATTAACAAGCTAACTCAGCTTCAGGAAGTGTAAGAATGACACAACAGTTTGTAAGCATCTCTGAATGGACTGGATGCTCTTACAACTACAAGGAAACCATTAGAAGTCAGGCTAAAATTACAATAATTCTGCTTCATTTCAATCTAGTAAGAAATTTGCCCAAATACTTGGAAATCCCTGTGATTTTTTTTTAAAGTGCTTTTGTATTTAAAAGACCAATCAGTGCATAAGTGTATTTAATTTGGCTTTTAGTAACTACAAATCTAGCACTTAAGCTTGATTCTTCATACATTTGTTTCAAAAGGAACAGAATCTCTTCCTCAAAGGATAAGAGGAATACTAAAGAATCAGTATAAAATTATTTCAAGTACCAAGAAGCCCACTCTTCTGTTGTGACATGAATATTTCCCAGCAGGTCAGACCACAAATACCATTATTTGTACATTTCAGAAAGATCAGCACTGAATTATATTACAAATTATTTATTTACTTACCATTATTTCAGTTTAACTCCAACTCGATTTAATGCCCTGTTCAGCTGAGCAGTGCCTCAGCAAAAAGTGCTGAGGTTGTAAGTGCTTAGGACAACACTAGTCTCAGAAAGGCATCCTTTCTGTTTCCTCAGTCAGACAACATAGCTGAGAAAGAATTATGAAGGCTTATTTCCAGCACTGCCTAACTGCCAGAGCATGTAAACACATCTGCAAAGTTTCTGGACTTCCTACACTACAGCAAACTGCCATGAACCATGACGGCACAGAACACACCAGGGCTGGGCACACTGAACTCCTCTTAATTCCAGACAGGAAGGAGCCATCAGTCAGAAAGAAGAAGTGAGAAGCCACCAGGCATGTAACCTGTTAAGCCATTTACTTCATTGGAAAGAGCAGACTGGGGGGTCTGGTTTGGTCCTCATTCGCTAGATTATGCAAACTGTCTGAAAACTGAAGGGAATTTTCACTATTGGTAGGTTGCTGACCATTTGTAAGCAAGTATCTTACTGCCCTCTCCAGAAAGCGTACCGATAAAAAACCAACCAACCAAAAAAACACCCACCCACACAAAACTCCTTTTGTCTTTGTTTTAGCCACTTCTTATCAAGAAATTCATGCCGAGAACGTGGTTCCACAGTTCTGATGGCTGAAGTCATATTCACACTGTTACGCAACTTAAAATATAGCCAAAATATAGGTCTAGAGGGAAAGGGAGCAGGACACAAAATTCAGGCAACTTACCTCTGTTGCTGACAAACGTTTATCGCCATTATCACTACCAACACCTGAATCTGAGTCCTTTTTACTCGGGTACATGTCATCAATGCTAGATGTGAATAATAATAATAAATAAAAAACACAATAAAAAGCTATCAGAGCATTTACCATTAGAATCCTGTCTTTGTTTCACTTAAAGCAAAATTCCAACCAGTCTTAATGGCAGAGTGTGAAATAGCCTAGTGAAAAACCCACACATTTGTCATCTGGTGATAGTAAAATAGATCAGATGGAATAGCTGGTTAGCCTAATGATTAACGAAAACCACAGAAATAATCTTCTATGAGGCTTGTTTTGCCTAGACACTAGGTAAAAATGCTTAGTTACTAGCTAAGTAGCACAGGAGTCCGATTGAAATAATTCAGCCAGGGAAAAGCAACTAAACTAGTTGAACTCAAACTGGAGTCAACTGATGTAATTGTAACCACTGATGCATTAAAAATGAATTGATATTTCCCTGTGGCTTAAAGCAGTTATTAACACAGAAACCTTCTTTTGGTGCTTTAAAATAGACTTTGAAATATAGGCTTTTAAGAAAACAAGTATAATAATGGCAACTGCTCTCTCTTCTGGTTTCATCACCTAGTATGACCTCTACTCATTTTAAAGTACACTATTAGATGCAATATAATCATCACCTAACATTTTATTTTAAAATGCTTTATTATCCTTTCATTTGCAAACCTGAATGCTGTAATCCTGAATTCAGACAGACACAGTAATTTAAAAAAGAACTTTATCAGTTTTCACATGAATAAGGTATTTTAAGATTAGGATTAATCAAATATCTCTTCTCAGTAAACACTAAGGATTTTGTGTAGAAACTGCATATGGAAATCCTAAACAGGTTATATTTTCTTTAGAAGTGTAGAAGTTATTCTCTAAAACAAAAACTTGGCAATTATTATGTGATAGAGCGTTAGGCTGTTAGTTACCAACTGGTTACGTACTCTGTACCATCCCCTTACCCTAACCTGTGTGATCCTATATGACCAAAATGTCATACAAGACATGACAGTCCCATCAATTTTCCTGTATACTAAAAGAACAAAACAGAAAAGCAGCAGGTGTTTCCCAAATGGAAAACTTACTATTGATCCTGATTCTTCCCACCTTTGGCATTTACCTGATAGAAATCCACAAAGGTGTCCCAGACATACATGGAAGAAAACAATTTGCTTCAAACTTTACCCAGATGACTGACAGGGAAATTCTGTAACAGGTTGCTTTTTTTTTCTCCCAGGGTGTTAGCAGCAACATCTCTATTTTTATCAACAGTTTGTTTTTATTGAGTACTTCTCTCCAAATGCATTATGGTACTTTCTCTGGTTATATTATACTTCCCATGTTAGCAAAGAAAGAGCTGGCTAAAAACTGGTTTCCAATTAGCTACGGAGATTCTCATAAAAAGGAGCTGCTTCCTATCTAGCTCCTGTCCTCAAACCACCATACAAGATGACACTTCCTAGACGACTAACAGAAGACATTAAAGATTTTGTCTTTCATTTTGCTATCAAATTAGCACATTTCGATTTAAAAGGGTCTCAACATTCAACATTCATAAAACTTATTTAATGCATTAATAGATTTATAAGTTCCATAACTTTATGATGCTGCCATCTTGATTATGTTCAATATATTCCAGTAGTCTGCTAGTAAGAGGCTAGATTTAAACTAAGGTTCACTTCTAAGCTGTTTCCTAATGTGCTGGTAACTTGAATCAGAATTGACTGTTAAAAATACTTTGTTCTAAACTCATAGGGATTTCAGTAGAATAAAATATATTAAAGCAAAATAAATCTGTTCAAAAAAGCACACTCTAAATAGCAGCTAAACAAAAACCTGGAATCTAAAGATAGAAAGATATTTATTTCACTCTGTTCTTAAGTGCTACATGAAAAAACTAAGTGAGATTTTCATACATACCTTTCTTCCACGGGTTGTGGCAAATGCTGTTGTTCTATAGCATTAAGATACAGTGAGTCTGCTGTTTTAATCTGACAGGCCTGTACAGTCAGATATTTGAATATATGCACCTTACCCTTTGTACAAATCTGTCAGCCAAGAAAAAAAAGTTAGGTTTACAAGTAGAATTAAATAAAGAATTTATTCCAAATATCATTTAGCATAAAACCAACTCATATTGTCACAACAGATATCACATAAACAACAATGGATTTTATTAATTTTTTTTTGAAATTACTAAGAACTACTTCAATTACCCAATCAATTATTTGTGTGTAGTAGTGTAAATACCCCCAGGAAGTAAGACAGAAACAAAAAAAAAGAACGTATTCTACTTAAAAAAAATACAAATGAACTTTTCACAATTACTATAAAATATCGTATGGCCTACAACTAACCGTAAATTGAATAATTATTTTCCAAAATTAGTAAATAATGACATTTAATTAAACAGCATGTCCTTTATACTCTTAGTCACATTGTTTTTACTAGTATCTGGGAATCTTTATGATGCCTTTCACCCGTATTTTTTTTTTTTTTTGTCTTTAACTGCAAGCTTCTAGCTCAAGGGCTTGCTGAATCTTGCTCTGTATTTTTTGAGTTTAGTAGCAGCATCACCATTGGTTATGAAGTGTTTCTCCAATGTAATAAAAACTCTCAAGTATTTCAACAGTCATTCATCATTGTAGCCTTCAGAGATGTAGTTTGAATCTACTGTCCAGTAAGTCAACAACAAAGCTGTCCTTAAGCAGCAAGCACAGGTTCCATTAATTTACTATCATCACTTCCAAGCATGGCCTACACTTCAGAACAGGAGTTTGATTTCTTTGTGTATCACAATCCATTAACTTACACTACAGAGTAAAATAAATTTCACACGGATTCCATTCTAGACCATCTGCATATCTTTAACTTAATAATAAATCACTGTAGAACCTTCTAGAACTGGGTTTTTATTAGCAGAGAGAAAATTTATCCAGGAAGTTTCCCAACTCTCTTTTTCAAAATTATATACGTATTCCAACATTAAGCTTCATATGCAGATAGGAATGACAAAAATAAACAGGTAGCTAACTGAATGGAAATCTTCTAGACTCATGCTGGTTCAAGTGGTACACAGACTCATACTTTTGGTGTCTTATTTATACATCAACAACTAACATCTGTGATGACTGACGCTCAGAAACCTGCAATTGCAGAAGGTGACATTTTATAACCTATAATTTGTTATAATCCACCCAATATTAAGGCACAATTCAAATAACAGATGTTACTTACTTGTGCTGGTGGAGACTGCAAGGGATTGTTCTCAAGCAGTAATACTTGTAACTGCACCATCTTTCTAAAACAAATTGGAATCACAAGCACTTTATTGCAGGAAAAGTCGAACTTTACCAAGGGAAGCTGTACTAGTTCTAAAAGTAATAAGAAAGAGACATGGTGTTACATCTGCATTTATTTTTGCCATAAAATAAAGTATTTCTGAATAAATCTTTTGCATTCAGGAAAAATAGAAACTCAGGCAGGAATATGAACAACATTGACTCCATTCTGTACTGGGAAATGAAAAGACTGTTGTTGTTACACGAGTGACAATAAATTTTAAAACAAATACTTTGAAATATTTTTCTCCCTGAAACTCAGCTGACAGTTCCCATACTGCATTCACAGATAAGTACTCGTGCAAATTAAAAGATGCCTAGAATCATAAAGATAATTCATTAAAAAACCTCACGAACTGTTACTGGTACAAGTACCACCGAACGTTACATTCTGCAAACTCAAATGGAATAAATTTGAACACAAATTAATTACTACTGTTTAATAACTTTTACTTACATGATTAAAAATACTTTCAAAATGCCAACAAAAACAGCTGTCATAATGGTATTAGGATTTTTTGTTTGTTTCTTTTTACCTTGGGGTAAAACTTCGAGGTAATTTCTTCTGACATTTAGTTCTTTTAAAGATTTCAGCTGGCCTATCTGCTGTGGCAAAGCTGTGATTTCATTACAGCTGACATCCTACAGCAAAATAGGAATGATAGAAATAATGAACTTTTGGCTCCTAAATGCTAAATAATACAGATGTGAAATTGTAGTTATTTTTCTATTACTGTTGTAATATTTTATTAACCTGAAAACATGCAACCTTTATGTCCCGTCCATGGGAAAATGCTTACATATTACTGAAAAACCAGAGTGATTTCTTATTTGGAGAAAAGTTAATTTTGAACATTAATTCAATTTCTATTGAAACATTCAAAACCACTTGCATCAGATGTTCTACCTTTTTGTTCTTAACTTACATTATGTGAAGAACTCAATACCATGATTATATAATCAAAAAATGTTTGGATGAAATGTAAAATTGCTAGTGTGTGGGTCTGATTTTTTAAAAAGGTTCTTGTTCTTCTGGAGGGAATATTTAAGCAATTTTTTATTTTTTTTTTTAAAGAGAGAAAATAGCAATAGCATTCTGTGCTCAGGAAAGGCATATATTTGATTATCACATCACATAGTAGGCCATAACAAAATAGGACAGGTCTTATTTAGTATTATACAGATATTCAACATATTATTGTAAAAGGTACTTTTTAACTGCCTAGACAGGTTCTGAGTAGGTCTGATTTTGATGCCTAACACAACTGGCTTAATAATCTGGATGAAATTGGAACCCATCCTCATTTCAGCATATCTAAAGGAGTAACTGTTGTAAAGTTGAGTTGAAAGTACAGGGTCTGGCTATACTGAGCATAATTTCAAGGAACAAGTTTATATACAGTAGTATTAATGCAATAAATAGTACACTGTAACACTACTGCTAAGAAGAAACTGCTATGAATGCGTACTAAAGATAAACTTCTTGGATTAAATCAGTCTAAAATGAGATAGTTTTCAGATGCTAGATATTTTTACTGCCAAGCTATCTATACTCACTCTAAAATCAAAAGGACATTGAAACCTCCACTTACACCTCAAGCAACCTGTAAATTTGAGTAATGTCCGGATTACACTTCCATTTCTGAGTTAAAAAAAGGAAACAGTATTTCATAGTATGAGAGCTAAGTGAGGTAATGCCAAATTTTCCTGAATAGCCAATGGAAAACTTTGAGGATGTTCACTCTTACTGTCTTGTTTCAAATGGATTTATAGACTAACTGGGAGGTCTTAGACTATAAAATCTCCAAAAGTCAGATTTCCAAGTCATCTCTTTGAAGATAGCTGCTTTAATAGTCAAAAGCATAACATTAACTTTCTATCTTCAAGCCTAAAAACTAGTTAACAAAAAATGTTAGTAAAGGCAAAATGTGATCTGTCAACGCTCTCTGTATCAGACAAGTTTCTTCTTGCAACAGAATCTCACAGTTGCCAAAGCTTCCTTCCCCTGTCAAAAGATAGTCAGGAAGTTATTTTAGCTTTTAGACAAGGAAATTAAAAATCCCAGTTAATGGGTGCAACTTTTGCCCAAGTTGCCACAAAGTATGGTTAATTGCACTGTTCCCAGATCATTTATTTTTAAAGCTTTTCTGTCCTATTTTTAATTTACAGTCCTTAAACAACTTCATAATTAGATACTCAATTTTTAGAGCATGGAATTTAAAGTCACCTTGCGGCAGAGAAACTTAGTGTACTTAGGTACACACATC